ATCATTTTTGTAAGTAGCTGTACACGAAATACTTCAAAACTACTTTGTTTAAAGTTCCACATATATTCATTAAAACTAATCATGCATGATTCTTATTTAAGCCGTACAAAGACCATGCAGAAACAGGAAAATCAGGTAAACTGTGTTTGTTCACATCACTGTGAATATAAGGAAATATATCTTGTATATATGCATTGAAACACCAAACACAAATAATCCAAAAAAATATATCTACAGGTGTGTGAATCCAATTCATCACAATATTGCTCGAAATTATATCACCGTGTTACACTAATTTGACATTTTGACAAAATACTACAAAGAAACTGAATAAAAAATTCCGAGGTATGAAAAACTCAAAGACTTATGTTTTGTACGCCAGACGCGCGTTTCGTCTACAAAAGACTCATCGTGACGCTCGAATAAAAAAAAGTAAAAAAAACAAATAAATTTCGATGTTGAAGAGCATTGAGGAACTAAATTTCTAAAGGTTTTGACAAATACAGCTTAGGTAATTCACTCCTGGGGTAAAAAAATCCTTAGAATTTCGGACTATTAACGCTAAGAGCATATTGGCAAAGAGTTAACTAATTTAAAAGAGTTGTCAGTTACAGGATTGTCTGGTTTGGTTCTAATTAATATATATTTAAAGGTAGGACCGATTTCATCTGAATTCATTTTATCAACAATATTTTATTATATCTTTTATTTCAATTTATGACTTGTTCCACCTGAATATATGTCTCACCAGGGCTTTTCAAAACGTCTTTCAGTCTTTTACTGCCCATTAGTTTATAACAACTTCATGATTGTAAATTGAGGTTCTTACTATATCATTGCGAATTTCATAAATACGATCTAATTATAAATGCATAAATGTATTTCAAAACTGCAATTTCGATACTGCTTTGGCAAATTTTTAGTATTAATGGAATAATATACCGGAATGATATCCGGAATCAAAACGTCTAATTGGTTAAATCCATGAATTTCATAAGCATTCCTTAATTTTTGTTAAAGGTACAAAATTTTGTCCAAACATTTATATTATCCATTTTTTTTAATCCAAACCGTCGCCAACAACACTTTGTAGCGTTTAATAAAGATTTGACTTTATATATGATATTTATGTGAGACACATAACACACCAATCAGCTATATTAATTGGACTAAAATGTCTTTCTGATTCAATTCGACCCTTGGAGAACATTTGCACATGACTTTTTCTAACTATTAAAATATTTAGTAAAGTCGATATTGGAAAAAGTAGATTAAATAATGTATTTTTGTTCACATATTTTAGCAACAGCTAACAGCTCTTAACATTCAATAATCACATTTGTATCAGTGTTGTGATTGGTTAGCAGAATGCAGACCGACAATTTTAATGGACCGTAACAACTTGACATATAATGTCCGAATACCAAACTAGCTCATTTCTTAGATGACAAAATACTCCTATGTTTTTGGTGGGGTTCGTGTTGCTTAGTCTTCAGTTTTCTATGTTGTGTCATCTGTACTATTATTTGTCTGTTTGTCTTTTTATTTTGGCCATGGCGTTGTCAGTTTGTTTTCGATCTATGAGTTTGACTGTCCCTCTGGTATCTTTTGTCCCTCTTTTTTCACTGATGCTCCTATATACTAGACCATATGTCTTGAGTACTTTTGTATGATTTCTGTTCTCATCCTGGTTCAAATGTTTTCTGTCTAATGAGTAATATACCCTCTGACCCATCGTATGGCGTTCTTTTCTCCCAGTTTATACGTTATGCACGTGCATATTCTGTTAAGGGAGAAAACATTAGTGAATTTGCCACTACAAAGCTTTTTTAACGCAAAATCATTAAGCAATTCATGCGATTATTTTTATACACATAATCGCCAACCAATAATTTTTTTACGCAGAATCACCAAGCACTATATAGGTTGTCTAATTGTTATCTTTATTCATTTAGATAAAGAAACTATAAGCGCAGTGTTATACGCTGTAATCTTCCCCCATTGCACAGAGAATGTTTTTATTCCAAACCGACCCGAATTGTGTGATCGTCTTGCTTGCCATCGTGTATTCTTGAGAGCTGTATCTTTGTACTGATAATAAGCTGAAAGAAAAGAAAAAATTCGGTCACATTGATTTGTTTTAATATGGAGACCATGCTGTAAGTTTATCTATATCTTCTGGTTGGGTTAAAATCTTTTGACATTTATATTCCGTATTTATATTTTCAATCATATCAAACAAATACGTGTACCTTTGTTGTATAGGAGTTCGTTTTCTCTATACCAATCTGCCACCTCATCCTGCTTTTCTTGTGGTATTTCTAATGGCTTGCTTCTTTTGCGCTTCTTGTTATCGGCATTAGCTGGCTGTTCAGTTTCACTATTTTGTTGGTCAGAATTAATATTTTGTGTTTGCTCATTTGTATCACTTGTATTAGTTACATCATTATCAGGCTACGGACTAACTTTGTGGCCTCTACCACGCCCTTCCTCTGCCTCTGGTCCTTACCAGAACGGTATGGTTTGAAACACTCTAAAAAGATAAATCAAATATCGGTAGGAGGGAAATTGGAATTAAAACGACAATGTGCAACGTAAAACATTTCAAAAGAGCAATTAACATAAAAGGGAAAGCATTGACAAGGTTCCCACCAAGTCTTTGAAATTTTGTCATGATTCATGTATCCACTCAACATTAATGTTATCTGAAATTAACCCAAAACCAAAAAATATTGCTTTTGGAATACAACAAAATCAAAATTTTTAGACCATAAAAAGGAACAAAATAATCTAATTGAAATGACAGATGTATTAATATTAATAAAGTGTACCTCTGTTGAAGTCTCTTGATTTTCTGGAGTTACTTTGCTTCCTCTCTGCATCTCTGTTTTTTCTGAATTTTATTATTTAATGACGCCGTTTCATAGGTCAATGATCACAGCGTAGTGACACGTGCGTAGAACAAACCTCCAAAACCGTAGGAAAACGTGCGAAACCGACGTACTTCGTTTTTATTTTGTACATAACTTAGGCCGTTAGTTTTCTCGTTTGAATTGTTTTACATTTGTCATTTCGGGGCCTTTTATACCTGACTATGTGGTATTGGCTTTGCTCATTGTTGAAGGCCGTACGGTGACCTATAGTTGTTAATTTCTGTGTCATTTGGTCTCTTGTGAAGAGTTGTCCCATTGACAATCACACCACATCTTTTTTATATTCAACCGTAGTGAACCGAATTAGAAACGTACTGAACCCTTGTAATACGTAGTGAAACGTATTAAAACCTAGTAGAACGTGCCCCGTGTATTTATCGAAAAATTTAACAAACCGTAACAAAACCAAACAATACGTAGAAGAACGTACCAAAACGTGGCATAAACCTAATAAAACGTACGGACCGTTAAAAAATGACAAAAAAATTACATGAAAAGTAGCATTTCTAAACGTAATAAAACCTAGCTGTCAAAACGTGACAGTGTGACTGGGGCTTTAGAGTGCGACCATTTGATATTCGGGGGTGGGGGCAGGAGGAAATTTTCTGGATTAAAACTTTATTTTCATCTCTTGCTACGCCTCTTTCCTGTATGTTGTGTTGCAAAATAGTTATTTAAATTATTAATAAAATTGAAAATGGAAATGGGGAATGTGTCAAAGAGACAACAACCCGACCATAGAGCAGACAACAGCCGAAGGCCACCAATGAGTCTTCAATGCAGCGAGAAACTCCCGCACCCGGAGGCGTCCTTCAGCTGGCCCCTAAACAAATATGTATACTAGTTCAGTGATAATGGACGTCATACTACAACTCCAAATTATATACAAGAAACTAAAATTAAAATTGATACAAGACTAACAAAGGCCAGAGGCTCCTGACTTGGGACAGGCGCAAAAATGCGGCGGGGTTAAACATGTTTTGTGAGATCTCAACCCTCCCCTATACCTCTAGCCAATGTAGAAAAAATAAACGTACAACAGTACGCACAGTAAAACTCAGTTTAAGAGAAGTCCAAGTCCGATGTCAGAATAGGAAACAAAAGAAAATAAACAAAATGACAATAATACATAAATAACAACAGACTACTAGCAGTTACTGACATGCCAGCTCCAGACCTCAATTAAACTGATTGAAAGATTATGTCTTCATCATTTGAATATCAGGCACAATCCCTCCTGTTGGGGGTTTAGTATTATACCATCATAAAATATATGAGAAGAACATAACCCGTGTCATGCCAACAACTGGTTTTAGAATAAATATGTTTAATTCCGATGCAAAGACCCTATAAGTGAATCAATATTAAAGCCAAAATATGCCATCTTTAATGACCTGACAACAGTATCGTAACTATATCCCTTCTTAATAAGTCTGTTTAAAGGTTTTGTTAGCTTTTGAGGTGAATACTGACATTTTTGTGCTTTGTAAAGAATATTACCATAAAAGATTGGATGTGAAATACCCGAACGTATAAGATGTCTGCATGTTGAGTTATATTTAAAACTATTAATCTTTTTTAAGATCCATAGACGACTATTGCCAAGGTTTCCACCTCGGAACATAATTACACTGTTCTGTTTTTAGAAACCAATCTTTGCGATTTTTCTATTGTAAGTAATTCGCAGTTAAGTTTTAATAAAATAACTATGGTTAAATACAGATATTAACGGACAATTACTGTTTTAAATTCTTTTGATTTTGATATGATCTCGTTGTTTTGCAGGTAAAACAGTGAAAATGAACGTAAAATGGGCATCTATTTATGTTCTCCTGTTGCTGTTTCGAAACGTTTACTCATGGAAAGGGTAAGTAATACACATGTACGATGATGATCTATATTTGCTGAAATCTGTTTATTTTTGGATTTGTACTTTATCCGTCAAATCTAGCAATCTAATTAAGAACTGTTTCAATTGTATAATATATATATTTTTTATCTATCTATATATTTATCAATAGACTATTTCTAGAAATGTATTATCTATCTGTATATTGACTCGATCCATGTATCTAATTCATTTATTATATCCAATCTATGATCTATCTATCGTTTTTGTATTTATCATACAAAATAAAACGTGCACTTTTGTTGGTAGTCACATGTGACACCCTTCGTGTTACTCTTACAAAATGAGTTGGTTAGATCAAACAATGCACGATATAGGATTGGTTAATGATTCTTCTCTAACCCTAAGTATTATCAAATTCGGAAACCATATGTTCTAACCCTAACATGCAACTGAGTTTGAAATTCATAATTGAAACACGTTTTTCACTACAAAGTATAGACAAAACTTACGGGTTTTTACAACGCAGGCACAAAGAGTATTGCACAATAATCTCTAAGCAATTAATAAAAAATTTTTGTTTCATATCACGGTGCAAAGCTTTTAATTTCATTCGATTTTAATGCCATCTTGATATTATTACCTAACACATATCGGTTCTGATTGGTTGCCTTATTAATGTGGCTAAGGTTCTTATTGCTCAAAGGAGATGTAGAATAGGGACCATGTCACAGACGGGAGAACATATTAAATATTGAAACTTATACTGTAATAATATATTCCTTATCAATAATGATTGCTTTGCTTCATGTTGACGTTATGTAGGCTACTGCAAAGCACTCTTTACCTTTTAAAACTTTTAAACTTTAAGCCAAAAATAGACCCTATAACCGCAAGCGCTCGAGGCGAGAGTGTTGCAACGAGTATATTGAATCGGAAAATTAACATATGGGAGGAAAACCGTCGGCATAAAACCTTTCAAAGCATCTCGAGGGCTACATATAGTAAAGGATAAATGACACCATCAGCTTTTAATTTCGAAGTCCGGAAAATTGTGAATGAATCCAAGCGATAATACGTCATTCCTACAAATTCCATAACAGTAAATATCATTAGTACAAAAAATTGGCATCAGATAGACGATGCTTTTCACTTGGGGCATGCAGGCACATGTTGTTTGCATTAGTTGATCTTGATAGAATTACAAAAATGCTAGAGGGAAATTTAAAACTATATGACGAGTATCGTGTGTAAGAAAGGACAGATGAAACAATGGTTAAAAAGCAAATCAAAAGTCAACAACCATTACATAGGAACTTAATATTTCTGCGACATGAACTTGAAAAATGGGATAATGTAATTTCCCTCCTTTTTTTAAATACAATTGAAAAAACAACAAAATTGAAAAACCAAAAGACATGTGTCGAGAAAAATGCAAATTAATCTTACAATGACACAAAACCAAAATGACTAGTTGCAAGAAAAAAAAAGTTCTACTAATTATGTTATAATTGAATTTATAAATCACATGCGTCAATCATCTTTTTGCTTCTAGACAAGTTTGTTCACGACTAGTAGCTTCCTGGTGATTGGAAAAGCGATGTGCATACTGGAATTGGTCTGGGTAAGTAGTAGGACACAGTTGTCTGATACAAATGTATCTAGTGGCCGACACCCAAGCTGACCGTCGTAAATAAATATGGTTACTTTTGTTCTTCCGACTAGCAGTAAAACCCTTGACAAAATGGGGCGTCCGTTTTGTTGTGTGGGATGTATATATTGGTAGCCACGTTCGGTCTGAAAGGGAGCACTTAATTCGACGTCTCGTGTTGAAAGTGTTTCATGCCTTCAGCACGTTAAAGAATCTCTGAGAGGGGTATAGGTGGTATGTTGAAAGGCAAACATTTTGCCATCTATCCGGTGGACCACTATTAATGTCCTTAGATATTGTATGTATTATTAATTTGTTCTCGTCCCGAACATGCATGAAATATTTGCAACTGGACGTACATCAAACGACAATTAATCAATCAGATAAAGTTGCTGGCATGAAAAATATGTAATTTAAAGGGGCATTAGCTGTCAAATTAATGTTCACTGACTCGACTCAAATTCTCATATTTGATTTATAACATACTTAAACGTCTATCCAAATAACAAAGTTGGAAATAACCAATAAACAATGCATGGACTCGATAATATATATAAGCATTTCGTGTGCATTATAGTCTAAACGCCATCTAATTAACAATCCAGATGACCTCCGAAGACTGCCGACGGTCACATAACCCGATAAACATGAACTAGTATACATTTTTAAGGGGCCAGCTGAATCCCTCCTATGGGTGCGGGATTTTCTCTCTGTGTTGAAAACCCATTGGTGGCCTTCCGCTGTTTTCTGCTCTTTGGTGGGGTTGTTGTCTCGTTGACACATTTCCCGTTTCCATTCTCAATTTCATAAATATAAATAGATGGCGACCTCGTGCAACTGAACTTTTCTATGTTTGTTTGATTTCACATTATAGGTTAAAAAAATAAGTTAATCATCGCTTTTTCCTGATTAAGTTTTTTTTTTTTTTTTTAAACGGTTTTAGAAAATGCTTTTGAATCTACAGAATTGATACAGGAGGATGTTTTAATGGTTTCCTAACAGCTTTCATAATGGCAGACCAAAACAGATCTTCGCCTAATCCTTTTTGATATTGCAGATGTGGTGTTGTGTCAAGTAAAGACTTGATAGAATTGGTCATGTGACTTGAATCTATTTGACTATGCATTATAAGAATAAGTGCGTCTTTCCCATGGCGTCGCCTTCTTTCTTGTACAAGGTCAAGTTCCCATTGACACCATTCACTTTTTGTAAAGTTATTCGACATAACAACAATAATTTTCCAACTTTTGCCGACATACTTAGTAATGTTGTCTGTTATAGATTCTCCAATTTCAAAATCTCGTTGGTGAACGCAAACTTTCAAGCCAATTTCTTCTAGGCGTTTAAGGAGCTCTAAATGGACCCATTGTCGATCTGAATCACAGTATATGACAAAAGCATCGTATTCACAGCTTTCGGAAGAATTAAATCTGATGTACCCTTTTCTCTTCCATTTTTTTACCCGAATAAGGTATATTAAATTTCGAATGTTTGTATTACAGCTAAACATAATAACTAACACACAAGTAACAATAAAAATTGATGCAACCGTAACAATGACTATCGTAAAAATTGGACTCCATGTTGAGCATTCAGCGTCTGTGGGTTTATAATCTTTAAGAAGAAGGCCTTTTTTGTCGTCTGGGTATACGCACGAGTAGTACTTTGGCCAATTCGTCATTATTTTAGAAATATTTGAGGATCGCAAATACTCAACAAACCATCTCTGACCACATGTACACCAGAAATCATTATGGGATATATCAAGTATATTTAACGACCGCAATAGCTGGATCGGAAATGATGATTCATTAATAACCCTTATGTAGTTTCCATCCAAATATAAATGTCTTAAGGATGTTAGATTTTCAAATACATCTCGACTCCAGGTAACGATTCTATTACCTTTCAGATTCAGGGTTTGTAAAAATGGCATCTGCTGAAATAATCTGTCCGGCAATATTTTTATGCGTGATGCTTGTAAAATCAGTACTGTCAAATTTGACAATGGATACAAGAGTTTCCAAAGTATATTAGGACTGCTTGATATATAATGATTTGTTAAATCTAATTTTTTAAGACTTGGTACGTGTTGGAACAGTTCAGTCTTGAAATGACATCTATTGTAACCAAACATTAATTCTGTCATAGAGGGGCTTCTAAATGCCCTTGGTTTAACAATTGACAGATGGCACATCCTATTTATCCAAAGTATTTTCAAATTTGAAAGACGGGAAAAAATGTCATTTTCTAAAACCGTTAGACGGTTTTTGTCCAATATAAGATGTTTAAGGTTATCTAGACAATTGAAAGACGTTGTCAGTAGTTTACGAATTGCGTTATCTGTCAGATCCAGGCGAGATAACTTAGGCACTAAAGACTCTCCTGCTTCATTTGCACAAAAATTTGGAATCTCAAATATGTTATTAGCGGATAACGTAAGATTAGTAACTGAGTGTAAACCACGTGCATATAAGAATAAGATCTCATTTCTACCAACATTGAGTTTATGTATCGTTGAAAAATGCGACAAAAGACTGCAATTAAAATTCATGAATGTATTTTCGTTAATGTATAGTTTATTCATGGTGTAGTTTCTTAAATTAGAAAAGAAGTCTATCGGAAGCATTGTCCATGCATTGTTCCTAAATCTCATAGTGTCAAATAAAGTTTTATTTAAACTTCGAAAGGACATTTTTAGGGACGAAACATTTAATTTCCTTTCGTATGATATTTCTAAGTTTCCGAGATAAATCAACTCCTGAAATGAATCTACAGTAAAGTCTTCTATCGAGTTGTTCCTGAATATCAAACTAGTTAAGTTATTTTTCGAAACATTTCGAAATGTGTCCATGTTGATATGAGATAGGAAATTGTTTTCTAATTCCAGTTTCACTACGTAACTTGGTAGTCTTGGAATGAATCCTAAAAGTTTACATTTTGCGGTACAATGTTTCCTACTACAATTGCAGAAAGTTTCAAAACAAGGTACATCGCTCTCTTCTACCGTTGCTTGAACATACGTGTACCAAATAAAACAAAGAAAATACAAATGAAAATAATCCATGTCTTCTTGAACTATCACATCTACAATACATGTGTTGGCTAAATGAAATATATTGAACCATTTCCTTTCAAATCATCTCACATGATTGAACTCGTACCATCATGTGTCATTCTCATACAGAGCAAACAATACGATACTTCCTTGTGGAAATATAAGCACTTGACTTTTTTTCGAATTTATTGGGATAAAACAAAACAAGGAAGTACAGATAAACTTTTATGTAATTCACCCTAATGAAAGCAATTGCTGATTCAATTATTTTCATGGATTCACGAAAAACAAAAATTTACTGGATTTTTTTATGTCGTGGTTTTTACAAATCTGCATAGCTCAATATCATTTTTTTGAACACTTAACAACAACTCAAATAAGTATGGAACGAGTAATAACTACTCCACAGTAACTTTTATTAACTTTATTGAAGATAAATAGAAAATCCATGTATAGATGAACGTCCGGACCTGTATATTTTAACCATTAGTCACACAGAAATAGCATTCAAAGGTGCCCATGTTTGTGCACCAACTGAACGTTTTGAAAGATTAATCTTAAGTGATGCCCGAGTACAACACATTTGTAAATTCAAAACGACGAAGATCTGGTAGAAAGGATCAAAAGACCAAACCCGGACAAGCAATCAATGCTATGCATGGAATACACTTTGCTGAAAAAGAAACAAATTAACAAATGGGAAACCCATTAATCACATGTCAAAGGAATGAAAACAACTCTACGATCAAAATTAAAACATTGAAAAGAAAATTAAAACAAGTCTTCAACACAAAACAATAAAAAGTGAGCAACATCAATTAAAATCGGGTTTAGCTCAAGTATTCTAGAAGGGTTAGATTATCGTGCTCTAGTGGCACCCGTCGAGTTGACTGGCAAGGAAAAAAGTCGAGAAAAAAGGACGGCTTTGTGACTACGACAATTGGAATATATTTGTGTGACCCATACACTAGTACTCTAAAGCGGTCAACCGAATCATGATGGCGTCCGTAATCTTTCGGAGGGAACAAGAACCCATAATTAGATAGCATGTGTGTAAGCAGAAAACTTCCATCAAGGAAATCACGAAAAGAACCGCAAGTTCTGGAATAAAGTATCAACTGGGAAATATATCCTTTATATGTAGGCGCTACTTGTATGTTACTACATAAAAGTGGTACGATCACAATCATTTAACTAGATATATACATATATAAAGCAAAATAGAATATTTCTATGGTATCCTTCATTTATAGTTAAATTAGATAGATGCGATTAACAGTCACCTAATTTTATATCATTTAGTGAAAGGACATCATCTTTATAGAGAAATATGAAGTTCAAGAATAGTGCTAGTTATTTTTTCAATCTTCCTGACAAACTCCTGCACGAGGTCAGTCTCATATGAGGAAATAATCTATTTGGCAAGCACAGTTGGTCTCGATAGTTCTAATCGGGGTTTTTTTCTCACTCAAAACAAATATTTATAAGATTTCTTAAATATTAAAAAATACAAATCTCATTAAAATAACAGTATTTCATGCAAGAACTAAGCTACTGGGCTTGTGATATCCTCGCGAACTAACTGCCAACCATAAGAGGTATCGACCAAGTGGTAATAATAACAGTAAACGGGATGATTATACTGCTTAAGATACGCATTTCTGCAAATAGTTACCCATGAGTGATGATCGATCCCTTGGTCACTAAGTAAGTTTTTGACAGGTTGTTCAATTTGAGAAACATTTTAACAAAACAGTAGGAAAGCAATTTAAGGCAAACAATTATTGCAAGGAGTCAATTGAGGTTATCTGTCAATTGTGTTTTCGAGTAACAAAATGTAATTTTCAGTTCATAAGGACAAAAGTAATGGTCACAACAGATTACGTGTTCAGAAAATAATTGGTTTGTGTGTATACTAGTATTTATTTTTAAACTATACATCAAAGTTAATGCTTACCATCCAGTGGAGGACTGATCGGTAACTACTTTTGAGATCAATACGCTTATTAAATTACATTACAAATGACTAACTATATAAAACTAAAGTTGGTATCTTGAAGGTACTCGAAGTAAGAGTATTGTGTATGTTCGTGAACTTGGTTTTGTTTAATGTACGCATTAGTAATCGTAAAAGATAACACGGATAAAATGTATCTTTATTTTCTTCATTGTCCTGAATACTTTACTAATTAAGTAAGAGCCATAGGAGGGTTGATTTGAAATTCAAATATTCTTTATAACATAACGGATTATGGGAGAAAAGAGAGCAAGAACGGGATAACAAAATCTTAAGAAAATCTCAAATGACACCCGAAGGAAGAGATGGTAAGAAATGGAAAATATGTACTAAAAAGATTATGAGAAAGGAGGAACATACTTTTGACTGAGTGATGGCGGTACATACAAAGAACTTACTGGTATATATACATGTGTATGACGTTAAACGCCATCACTATGATCGGTCAGTCAGGGTGTGTTTCTCCCTTCTTCCGCCTGCCTCTCCTTAATTACACTAAGTTCATTCTGAACTTTATAAATGAAACTTTTGTTGAACCTTTCACAATTAATATCCGTTTTGAGCCTATGTGGAGTGTTTAACGGCTTACAATTGACCATCTTATCGTATGGTTCTTTCCATTTTCTTTAGCAACGTGTCTATTATGCTGCATATTAGTTGTATTTGTTGATACTTTTATTGATAAGAAGCCGAGTATTGTCAAGTTAGTTTGGGGAGCTCTTCTGGTTGGTTTTGCTTGGTTGATTAGATATATGTTTGTATAGTTCTTTCACAACGGTTGCCTTTTAGAACTACGGCAAAACGTTTACCTTCTCGGTGCTAACTGGTACTAATATTTGTTAATGTCGATGAATTTGAACACTATTTGACTATCACTTCGAGCTTAACCGTTTCAATAGCAAAATATCTGAATAATTGACCGGTTTGGTTAAGTATATATTTGCTTTAGAGGTAAACCGACACAATTTTACAAGACGCTTCTTGACAATGAAAAAATCGTGTTAAAAATGTGCACGTTGAATTAAGGGTTTTAACTTTTCAGTAACAGAAAAAAGGACTCTTTGGAAATCAGTGTTTATCAACCATATTTTTAATGTCTCGTCTTTTAGACCCAAATCAAATTTCAAAAATCTGTATTTTGTTAGTAAATGATACTACCTAGAGCTTCAATTTCATAAACTTCTTACTCAGATAACATCAGTTGTCAATTATCAACCTAAACACAATGTTCCTTTGTGTCATTCTGCCCATAGCTACTAAAGATTTTCCAGATAAGAACGTTCAAACTGTTGTAATGGAAAATGAAATCAGCGGTCCTAAAGTTTTGCTGTTGTAAAAATGTCGATGACGGTTCCTGGTTTTCTGGATTTTGGGTCAATGCTCTTCAACTTCGTACCTAATTTGGTCTTTATAACTTGTTTATTCGAGCGTCATTAGTGAGTCTTTTGTAGACGAAACGAGCGTCTGGTGTACACAATTTTAACAAACGACAACCACTGAACATCAGGGTCCTGACTTATGACAGGTACATGCCATGATATAGAAGCAATATTAAAATATATTAAAAGAATTTCTATCAGTTATTAGTGTTATATACTGATCAATTTTCTTTTTAGTTTAAAAAGTATATGCTATTATTGACGAAATTTTCTTGAAAACGAGAAAACTCTCTACTAAATTCAATTAAACGTTATATATGTAGCACGCCTTTTACGAATTAACGTATTTAATTCATGAAAAACGTAGTTTGAGTGGATTAAATATGTTAATGAGTAAGGCGTGGCTATATATGATTTGTAACATTAATGGGCGATGACACATGTCAAAGGTTAAACTTAACTGTACTTTTAATGAATTAAATATGCCAATCAAATAGTGGGCCTTTCTATGACAAAACGTCTCTTATTTTTAGTAAATGAACTCATGGGTCGGATTTTTTTAGTAGAATTTGATTTAATGATAGATCCACATTTTAACGAATTGTTACCGTTATACTTTCATCAAGATTTAAAATATAGAGAGCGAGTTATGTGTTATTGGAGTGCACCTCCCCCTTTTCACTCTTTCAAAAATTCTTGAGGGGATAGATGCAAAATCTTGTTCGATGTATACCATACTGCCTGATTTCAAAACCGTTAAGACGTGTAGTTATAGAAGAGTTAAAAAAAGGAAACCTTTTTAAGCTTAAAATGAAGATATTCTGCCTTTCCCAACACCATGAAAATGGTCGAATAATAGATGGGCGTTTGAATGCGTAAGGTTAAGAGATAAATATTTTAAGCATGTTTAATTCACTGAAATATATCTTTAAAAAGTTGAGGAAAGAAACGACTATAAATCAAATGAAATTGTTTTTGGAATATTCATTTTGACACGATAAAATCAAGTATCCACCAATTTATCAATATCGTCTCTTCGTTGATAAATCACGTTATTCCTCTCCGGTGCATTCATTTGTTTCAAGTATAAGGAACCATTTTTCATTTAGGGTTAGGTTTACAAGTTTGGCTAGTGTGAGGGTAAGCCATCCACCCTTTTCCAGAATTTGTTTTTTGATGTATTGTTGTGTATGCATTTTGTGTAAATTTGTTAGGACATTTTATGGTCATTGATTTCATAGTTTAGTAAGCCAAGGAGGCGGAGCTAGACAGTGAAATAACAACTTCTGAGATGGAAGTTAAAGCATTCGTCTAAGCTCCTCCCATTCTTTGCTTTTCCTATTACAAGCGACACATGACGGAACTGGATAGTGCATTTACTAAAAAAATCATTCAGTTAACGCACTTCTCTAAAAATAGCAGAAGTTACCTCAAATGAAGATCAAAGGAATAATTACCATTTACAAATTATGTTTGTTTACAGAATACGCCCCCAAGGGTGACTTGAAAATAGATACATGGTAACTTGGGTCTTCCTCTGTTTGGCAGTAAAACCCTTGCCGAAGTATGGCGTTCGTTTGGCTGTTCAGGATGTAAAAGTACGCAGCCACGTTCGGTCAAAATGGAGCCATTAAATCCGATGCTCGTGTAAAGAGACTGTCACTCTGCAC